GCGAAAATGATGGCATCGTCTGCGTACAGGTTGACTCGCAGCGAGAGGTCCCTGCCCGGCAGCGAGTCAAGGTGGCCAAGCTCCATGGCACGTTGGAGGAGACGATGCAGGGGGGTCAATGGCAATGATGAAAAGGAGAGGGGACAGGGGGTCACCCTGCCTGAGACCTCGGCAGTGCAGAATTTGGTTCCCCGCCATGCCATTCAGTAGGAAGGAGGAGGTTGACGTCGCCAGCAGCATGGCGATCCAATCATGCCACCTAGCCGAGAAGCCTAGGGCTTGTAGTAGCTCGAGCAGATACTCCTAGGAGACATTGTCGAAAGCTTTTGCTATATCTAGTTTGAGCAGTAGCGTTGGCGTGTTTTTTCTGTGCAGCGATCTAACTGTGTTTTGGACATAGAGGAAACTGTCGTGCGTGCTTTTTCCTTGATAGGAAGGCTGACTGGGCCGGCAATATTATGGAGTCGATGATGTTAAAGAGCCGCATGGAGAGTACTTTGGTGATCAACTTAGCTATGGAGTGAACTATGCTAATTGGCCTGAAGTCTGAAACTGTTGCTGCGCCATCCTTCTTTGGGATCAGTACTACTAGGACAGAATTGAGGGTAGCAAACTTGTCGCCGGCCATGCAGTAGAACTGGTGGAAAGCCTGCATGATATCGTGCTTGATAGTTTGCCAACAACTTCGAAAGAAGATTCCGATGAACCCGTCCGGCCCCGGAGCTTTTTCTGCCGGCGAGGCCTTGACCGCCTCCCAGACCTCGTCTTCAGAGAAGGGATTGTCCAGTCCGCCCCCTCAGATGGTGGGCAGTTGCAGCTGGTGCCAGTCAATGGATCTTGGGCATGCTCCTTTGGAGCCGAGGACGGAGTTGAAGTGCTCGAAGATGACCGCAGCCTTGTCCTCATGTGCTCTGGCGATCCCGTTGCTCGTCTGCAGGCTATGAATGATCCAGATTTATTAGTGCTTTTACCATTTCAGAAGTTGTCATTTCAGAACTCAGTCCATAACTTTATTAGTGCATTTGAAAAAATGTGCACGTAAAAAAATAAATGTTCATGTATTATACCAAACATTCATGTATTTCCTTCGCAAAAAATTGTTCGTGTATTTGTCAATAAAATATTGATATATTTGAAAATAAGGAAAATATTGAAGTACAATCTTTTTTTCTGAGCGGATGTGAAAATACAACTTGTTGTGCCTAGAAGCTGGGTTTTTCTAAAGCCTATCACCATCTGGACCGAGCTTTTTTGGAGAAGGCGTTAATTAGGTGGAGTTTCTCTCCAAACTGGATCTCTCCGATTATGGCTTCTGTGACATCAGTGCAATACTTGGTGCAGTTCAATGGAAAGCTCCTAGAATCCTTCACGCCCTCGAGGGCCCCTGCCAAGGTGATCCAGTCTTCCTGTTTTCATTTTTGTTTGTTGCTGGCGCGCTTTCTGGTAGCTCTCACCAACATAAGTCAGTGGCGGAGGATGGTTTGGCAGGTGTCAAGGTTTGCCAACGGGTACCTGTTATTTCTCACCTCTTGTTTGCAATGATTCTTTGCCATTTAGGTCTTAAGTTGAACACTTATGCGTCAACGACAGTCAACTTATTAACCCTGAGAAGTGTTCCATCTTTTTTTCTGATAACTGTCTGGAGCCTGTTGTGGAGGAAGTGAAGAGGATTTTGAAAATTTTGCAACAAGTTTTTGAACCAAATATATGGGGTTGTCAGTGCCAGAAGGCGGAATGCATAAGGGTAGGGTTGAGACCCTATAAGACAAATTGTGGAAGAGGTTACTGGATTGGAGCGAGCAGTACATGTCGTCGGGTGGCAAATTACTTCTTATTAAATCAGTTTCACAAGCCATCCCCACCTATGTTACCCACGTTTGATGTTGCGGCAGTATTGGTGGGGATGGAGAAGGGGGAATAAAAATGTCATGGTTCAACTGGGATATAATGATGCTACCAAAGTCAAAGGGTGGCATGGGATTAAGAATATGAGAGCCTTTAGCCATGCTTTATTGGCCAAGCAAGATTGGTGTTGATGCGCACGAAAGTTTATGTGATAAGTACTATCGGAACCTATTGGATGTGGTTTCCTCAGACAATGAATCGGCTGTTTGGAGAGGTGTTGAGCATGGCCTGGACCCTATAAAGCAAGGCCTTGTTTGGATAGTGTGGGGAGGGGGGGAGAGGGGTGGATCTCAAATCAGAACATGGGAAGATCCATGGATCTTGTGAGCTTCGGATTTCCGCCCTATATCTCCCAAGCATAAATGTCAGTTTAACTGGGCGTTCGACTTGTTTTTATGAACACGGTGCTTGGAACATGCAAAGGTTATATGATGAATTGTCGTCGAGCGATATTCAGGAGATTGTCAAGATCCTTGTGCATGGTTCCCTGAAAAGAATGGGCATTTCTCAGTGAAGAGTGCCTACCGGCTAATAACTACATACAACCATGTTGATGAGTTGCAGGTGGGACGTCCAGTAACAACCTCGAGCGTAAATGTCGGTCTAACTAGGTGTCAGACTTTTTGGATGAACACGGTACTTGGAACGTGCAACGGTTACATGATCCCTTTTGGTTGAGGGATGTTTACGAGATTGTCAAGATCTGTATCTCTCCGCGCAGCTGACAAGATCTTTTTTCGCCTGGTCCTTGAAAAGAATCGACGTTTCTCGGTGAAGGGTGTCTACCGGCTAGCTACATACAAGCATGATGATGAGTTGCAGGTGGGGCGTCCAGTAACAACCCTGTCCCTGATGGAGCCCGACCTATGTCGCGCTGCATTTGGAATGCCTTGGTTCTGCAGAAGAAACAAGATATGATGTGGAAGGGTGTAGAGTCCTGGTGCCCTTGCTACGTAAGTTGTATAGGCATCTGTCAAAGCATGACACTTGTTCTCTCTACGGTATTAAAGTTGAAAGTAGCTTTCGCCCTGATCTCCTGCGATCATGCTACCAAACTATTCAAGCTGATGAGGGTGATTTGGCCGCTCTCTGATAGAAGTGTGCTGATAGACACAGGCAAGGATTGGTTGTTGAATGTGTTGGCGACTTGGCAGGGTGTAGTGATGTGGAACAATATAGGTTTATCTTGCTTACCTTGTGCATTTGGTAGTTGCGCTCGGACTTGGTGCATGGCAATGATATTCCACCCCGGAGGCGATTGTTATATTCCTTGACAGCCACATGAAATTGCTTATACAGGCAAGGCATTATAGCACAGATGAAATTCTCAAGGGTAATTTGCCAGTGCTGGATGATTACTGAGGCCGACGGTGACCGCACCGACCCTTACATGCCTTGGCTGCTGACGCCGACGGATCGGGTTGCCCTTTCGGTTGATGGGTCCTCCCTTGGTTAGGATGGGACGGCTACAGACAGCATGATTCTTCCACGGCATGAAGAGAGTGTGATCTTTGACGCCTACCAGTTCTTATTCAATTATAATGATGCACTTGAGGCAGAGATCCACACACTCATGCAGGGTATGGCGTTATAACACATATTTAATTTCTCAAATCAATGACTTAAAACTACGCGAATGACTTATTCACCTAGACGAAGCTAGTACTTGTTATATAGAGATCTGACTCTGCGCTCACGCAAGAGTCAGGCGCTGACCTACGACAATCGAGAAACATTAACGTGCACATCAGATTAACTATGCGACAAAAGGTTCGCTTCGTCGAGGAGAAAGAGCGCCTGCTCGCGATGTCCACATCGTCGACAAAAAAAGAAACGAGAAGCGATTCGTCGGACTAGGAACGCGTTTTCATTGGCCAGCTGCCCCAGGTTTCTCCACACGCAACCTCCTCCTCTGCTCCTTTCTCTTGATCGGCGCCGCCGGATCTGCTGCACCGAGGGGGCACGGCGCCGCTGAGATGCGGGGCGATGCGCTGCCGCCTACCGCGCCCTTGGCCTTCTCTCATCCCCTGCCCCTCCCTCCTCTACGGCGACGGCGAGCTCTTCGAGTCGGGGGCCTCGCCGCTCGTCTTCCTGCCCTGCTCCTGATCCGGGGCGGCGGCATGAACCTCTCCCGCGTCGACGAGAATCTCCTCAGCTCCGTCTGCTGCGCGCGCTCCCTCGCCCTCCTCCCCCCGACCCCAGCCCCTTCCCGTGTCGAGGTACTGTGTTCCTCCCTTCCTCCCCGCCATCAACCCTTCGTCCTGTGTTGGATCCAACAATAGTGCTTGGTTGCTTATCATTGTGTCGTGCGCCTGTAGGTTCCAGCTCGAGCTGTTGTTGCGGCGACGGCTGGATTTGATGTCACTGAAGTTCTAAAAATTACATGATGGCTTGCTTAATTTTCTTCATTAAGAGCAGAGAAGGAGAGGGAAGAGAAAGACAAAGATATTTAGCTTTCCTTCCAGTTATCATTGCATTACTTTTCTTTAGGGTTTTCGATCATTGGTTCTAAGAAATTAACGCCAAGAAAGGGTGCCTTCTGATGTCTATAAATCTAAGCTTTATCTGTTCTTGGGATCCGATGGAAGCTTGTGATTTAGGATTAATTAGATTATCTGATCACAAAAGTGGCTCCTTTCTTGGTTTGTTCTTGTCCCTGTAAGCTGAGCTTCTGTCCATCCGTCCGTAATAGAAGAAGCTTATTTCCTTCCTAGGCTTGTAGTGTCATCTCATGCTCCCTTGTGCTGTGAATTCGTAATGCAATGTATACAAATTGGAGGCAGCCTCCCTGCTTACAGTACTACTTACTACAGTTTTTTCATTAATTAATTGGCTTAACTTGTACTTGCGCCTGCGCTTTTCTGCTAGAATAATGGGCCTTTTGCACTAAATCCATCATTAACAATGCCATTTTTCTAATGCTTGCATGCATCCCTACGAGCAGATTAACGTGCGCCTAAACAATAAAAAAAAGCCGAGATACACATCCTTCTTGCAAGCAGGAAGACATGAAGACGGTGACTTGATCCGCCCAGTCCAGGGGAGGAAAGCAACAGGGAAACCCCGCCTTCTGCCACCAGTATGAGATAACGGCCATGGGACACACGATGCATCCTGGTGCGCTTAACCCACAGCCATCATTTGGTATGCCCAACAGTATTTCTTACTGCCACAACTTGTTGTTTCTAGCAGGATAACGTATTGTTTGTTGTTGTCTTCGTTACTATCCTTACAAAAGTCACTGGTCTAGGTTAATTTTGGCCATTCTTACTGCTGTTTGACTAATGGTTTTCTTATTATATTGTTGGTCGCAAAGCTATCTGGCTACAGATACGCTTTAACCTTTTTTTCCCATGTATTCAGACAGGATTTGACATGGATGATGTAGTAAGAATGTACATCCGATACACACTGAACGGAAAACAATTCAATCCTGATGTGGTTCTGGATCTCATACGTCTTAGGAAAGCATCAATGTTTGAAGATAATGAAGTTGCTGAAATTCTGAATCAGATATCAAGACGAATTGTTCGGGAAAAAGGTATTGTTATTCTTCTTCTGAACTGGTACTCTTAGAGAACACATAGTATTTCCTAACCATTCAAAAGACTCTGTTTTTTGTGAACGCTGCATGATAGTGTTCAAAATATTATGTCTTTCTTATTGTGAACTATTGATTTCCTTGTATTTGGTAGGAATGATAATTTAGTTTGATTCACAACTAAACTTGATGTGTAAGATTATGGTTGCACACTGCTAGAGCACTGGCCGCTGAGGATATTTTGTGTTTTATGATATTGCTGGTCCAATAGTTATGGACTTATCTGGGTTTAGAGAACAAGGTCTCAAGCCTAAGCTTGCTGTCCATACATTGTTCGGAAAAATCATGTACTTATCAGAGGCAAGCTGCTGGTGTCTGTTTTTATCGACTCTCAGTTGCAGCTGAGAATTTTCTTGACTCTAAAACAGAATTAAAATGTTTTAGATGTCATGATGTTGTATTATAATGTATTCAACTCCTTACTTCCCTCATTATAACTGAATATCTGTGAATTATCCAACTCAAAGAATTCTGTTCTCGGGACGATTTGCTTGTTGTCAAAGAAATTTTTGGATTTATAGAGTATGGCTAAATCTTTGTTGTGGATTATCATCACAAATTTTATACCACAACTGGTGCTTACAATACTACTGCCGTAACCATTGTTTCTCATCATGTTTTCATCTGAGCAGTGGATGAGCTCGAGGAGGTGTTCTACGAGGAGGTCGGTGCTGCATTTTCCGACACATGGGTCCTGCCGTCTTGTGTCAGTTGGGTTTGATGCTTTTGATTTTGAATTATGTGAAGGAACTCGACCCCATAAAGTACATTCTGGCAAATATTTTGGAAGAAGCTGGTGATGCCTGCCACCTATTTCGATAAGCAGGTTTAATGATCTACTATCCTAAATTCCTTGCTAAAAACATCATCTGAGAGGAATATTTAGCTTGGATTTCCTCTTGTCATGGTATCAACAACACATCCTTGCCTTTAGCACAGATATTTAACTGGTTAATATATATGCTTTGCTTACTTCATCAGCCTATGTTTGAACATTTTGTATAATATTTTTAACTGGTCAACATACTTGTAGATCTACAATTATTATGTTAGGTGTTAGACCCAATGAATAAGACCGATACCCAGTAATTTGTTAATATCACCAAGTCAGAACCCATACAGGAGGTGGACTGCATACTGCAAGTGCCTCACGTTGTTGTATGTACCTAATCCAAAGCAATCCTTTGATATCCTCCTATTTTCCTCTCTAAGATATGCAATATCCTACTAATTTTGTTGGTTTGTTAAGTTATCTTCTTGTACATAGGTCACAGCTGATCTAGAGACGATCTCCACAAAGAAAATATTGGGCCAGTTGACCTTCCACGGGCATGCATATCAGAATCAAATCAAAAGCCGGAAGCTTCAATCTTGCCTTATTCACATAGCTTTTCAAGATCAAATGAGGATTTGCCTGATGTGGCCCATAGCTAGATATTTGCACGTGATAGGTACTTCTTTTTGACTGCTCTAGCTATGTAATACACTATAACAATCTCTAGGATTTTATTTAGCCACCAGTGAAGCCTAGCAGGTAGGTGGGTCAACAGTGAACCTTTTCAATTGTCATTATACCATTGATATCCAAATCTTGGATGAGTTTTTCTTGATTGTTCGGTGACTAAGCGTATGTTGGTTAATATGAATTTGAATTGTACTCTGGATCAAGTGATTTTCTGATATGGTAGTTCATTTCTACAAAAATTGGCCCATTCTAATTGAAAAACAAAGCAGCATTTCTATAACACGTGGGTATAAACTGAAAATTGTATATAGTGACCTATGGAGTAAAAAAACACAAAATGCAAATAGATGAGAAATCTTAGCTTATTCCTTTTGCCCATTTCTATAACAAAAGCTCTTGGCTGGCCTAACAAAGCTCCTGGAATTTCAGAGCGACAGAAAAACTAATTTAATGTCTTCAGATAATTCTCATTTAGGGTAGTCTAGTTGTAGCTTTTATGTTCAAAATTGTTGTTTATCGGCACATTTTCTTGAAGACATGTGCCTAGCGCTTCTTTGAATTTATTCCTGAGCCAAGAGCCGACATGGCGACGGAGCAAGATATCTCAAATATAAAGGTTGATCTTAATTTCTTGATATTGTCTATTTCATACTAATAATTGAGAATCATTCCCCAAATTAATTGCTATGTAGCCAACTCTTACTGAATCTATCCATGTCAGCTCATGTTCTCAAATCGGTCAAAAGGTCATTGTCTGGTCAGTTTTATCTACAATTAATTGTTTTGTTCAACCCAACAGTCTTCTCTACGTACATCTAACCACATCAGGAGTTCTTACATGTTTATAGTTGAATTAATCTTCATTCATACGGCAGGTGCACGAGGTACCATGCAAGCAAGCAGGGTGGCCCTGATCATGCTGTAGGGGCTGGGTATATTTCTATCTTTATAAGACCTTTTAAGTCTGACTTAAGACAGCAGGAAGTATGCCTCTACTTTTGGACGCTGCCATGTGCTATCCGTTACTTTTGAACCACCATCATCGTTCATGTAACCTCCAGAATACATTCTCTAAGTGTGTTGTTTTTGCATGGCTCCATCTTAAAGTTTCAGTTAAAAACTTGCGCATACCAGTCCTAATATACATGTACTTTGAGTGTGATGGAATAAACAAGAAAGTGGAAGGGGCGCGCTCCTACCTTGCACCGCCACAACTTACTCCCAGGAGGCCCGCAATGGCGGCCCCCAACCACTAGTCTTACATAAAGCTGGACTGGTCTGACGCAATATAAAGTAGCTGAGCTTTCTAGTCTAGTGAAAAGTTCACACGTGAACATGGTTCCATACACACCCATATGAATAGTAATTTAAAAAAAATACTACTCCCTTCGATTCAAAAAAAGTTTCATCGCTTTAGTTCAAATTCAGTTAAAGCTCTGAACTAAAGTCACGACACTCTTTTTTGGATCGGAGGCGGTAGAAAAATCAAAATGAAAATTTGGGATATCAAAGTTGATCGACCATTCAACTCATGTATAAAGTTCCGTGAAGGAATGACACCAGGGGTATAGAAAATACAGTCCATCTTACTATTCCTTCAAACAGTGTTTTTGGAGATAGCTTTCATTTTGTTATTTTTACCCAGAATACACTTATGTCATTTCCTCGTGAAACTTAATACTCAAGTATACCAGTCAATCATGTATACAACCAAAAAAACAGTTTTTTTTAGGCTCTTCTATTTGTTTTAAATCTACAATTCATAGTTATACCGAAGGAAAATCAAGAACGGTGTTTTCTGTGTGGCATGCGGAAGAGAAGAAACACTTCATCACCGTTTCTGGTCATGCCCACACTCGGCGCTATTCTGGAACATAATGCGGTCGGAGAAAGGAGTTGCGGTGGCGATCCCACCGTGTTCGGTTGACCCCTCGAGCGCACTATCATCATGACTGCTAGGGTGGTTCGCAGAGGCCTCGGACGGCGAGAGAGAAGCAATGGTGCAGGCCACGTATGTTTTTTTTTTTTGAATTGAGGGGCATGCCCCCGATTTCATTTCATTGCATGAAAGGAAACCACCACGTATGGGCTATGGCTAGCTAGAAATGAAACAAAGGAAGGAAAGAAAATAGCAGAGCCCCAGGTATTAGCAGCATCTGTTCTGGCCTACATGACCGAATGGTCAGCAGTACATGTGAGGAAACCTTCAGCTACGAACACCAGAGAAATGCATCGCTGGGCTGCTCCGGAGACGGGATGGGTCAAAGCCAACGCCGACGGCACCGTCTCCAGAAACGGGGGCAACGGTGCTGGAGGCCTAGTACTCCGGGGTGACCAAGGCGATTTCCGTGCGGCTGCGTGCAACTTTTTCGCCGGTGTTGCGGACGCCGAGACAACAGAACTTATGGCGTGCCGACGGGCGGTCGAGCTAGCTAGCGAGATCAACGTTGAGAAGCTACATCTGGAGACAGACAGCAAAGTGGTCGCGAGCATGCTGGGAGACACGAACAAGAACCTGTCGGCATCGGGGCCGCTAGTAGAGGAGATTAAGCAGATGCTTAGTTGGTTCAACGATGTGAAAGTGTCATGGGTATGACGGACTGCCAATAACGCCGCACACAAGTTAGCTAAGGTAGGGGTAGAGGAAGAGTTATGTAAGCTTGGGCTAATGGTGCCTTCAGACTTTGTGTTAGATGTGATCTCTGATGAGATCCCAGACTTTACTTAAATAAAGCGGTTTGTGTTATCCTCAAAAAAAAAAATCTACAATTCATAACGGGTACCCCAGAACCATGTTCCACATATCCGCATTCTATGAAGAGTGCTAGAACAAGAGTTGGAGGACAAAATTAAAGAGTACTTTCCACATGACATCGTGTTAACATAAAACCGCAAAAATAGGGAAGCACCATTACAATTTGCTATGGAAGCAAATTCCTTTTTTTTCCCACAAGGCCAGTATTTTTTATTGAAAATAATTGTAACATTACAATCCTCACATATTATTACTGGCCAATCAATAGGCCGATTACATTAACCGATGTTGTCTTGAGCAATAGTTTAGTTGGCCCTGGTTGTGACCATGGAGATGCCGCCATTGTGGCCGAACCTAGCGACCTTGCAGTCGGTGGCGAAGATGTCGGAGGAGACATAGCTTGCTACACCACCCATCACAGGCATGTTAGCACTCACGTTGAGCTTGTTGACGTAGTCGGAGCGGTAGGTTTGGCCGAGAATGCCATGAACATTGTCGGTGAGACCGTAGAATTTGAACCCAATGTCCAAATGCGCGAGGCTGTCATCCTCTGTCACATCATAGTTGTGGATGCGGGAGTCCTTCTCCGTGATGGGCACTACTTTAGTCATGATGTCAAACACACCCTCAAGCTCGACCCTCATGCCATTTGTCATGGAGGTCCTCGTGACGGTAAGGGCAGGCACGGAGGTGGATTGCCATTGTGCGCCAATGTCAGTAGAGATGTCGATCGGTGCTCCGTCCAGGGACGATTCCAAAGGGGGGCGAGGGGGGGCGAGACCCCCCCTAACGATCACGTCGCCCCTTGATAACGATCATGCAGTCGAAGCTTTTTTCGTGTACGCGCATGATTTTGGCCTGTCTTGCCCCCCCTGTACCTCCTAGGCCAAAGTCAAGCCCATGTAAGTAATGATTGCAGCAGGCAGCTGGTCAAAGGCTCAATATCAGGAGAAGGAAAAAGGAAAAACAGCCCAGCGTGGAAGAGCCAGACCCGCGCTCAATCAGGACACGCACGTATACGGCAGTTTTTCTATCTCCTCTAGTCACTTTCCTTTCTAATCTGCTACTCGCGATCTGAAAAACCTTGCTCGCTGCCGCCGGCCACCAAGATTGTCTACCGTCGAGAAGGAAAGGAGACAGACAAGCACCGTCGCGCCAATCCACGGGCGCAGTCCAGCCGGTAGGCCGGCCGCACGGACGAGCGACCAAACGAGAAAAAGCAAGGTTAGATTATATTTTCAGGATTTGTTACTTTGAGTCTTAGAATGTAATTGTAGGCATTAAAAACTAATTAGAAAATTTCCAATTGTTCAATTGTGTTTGTGTAGACATTAAGAGAAAGAAAGGGATTAGGGGAAGCGCCATTACCATGAGCGATCATGGACCTAGCTAGGGATGAATGGCGTCCTCTGTGCCAGCATGGTACGGTCTCTCTCATGAACTTCAAATCTTTCTTTTTTGTCTAACATTAATGATCATTTATTGATGGACATGAAAATTG